ATGTGTGTGTGTGTCAGTGTGTGTTTGTGTGTGTGAGCCCTTCCCTATATTGTTGTTTAGTTTTGTGTTTTAGGTTTATTTGCACTCCTTTGTTTCTGTTTTCCCAGGTAGATAATTATATTCACCTGTCTTCCTTCCAGCCCTCACTCCACACACCTGCTGCCATTTTCCCTAATTACTCCTCCCTGTGTATTTAAGCCCTGTCCTGTCTCTGTGTTGTGTTGGTCCATTGTGGTTATTCTGTCAAGCCTTCTCTAGTCTCTAGCATTTTCAATCTCAGTCTTTTCTAGTCTTTAGTATTTTTGACTCTAGCTTAGTTATTGAACATTTTGGACTTATTGGCTCCCTGCATTTGGATCTATTTTTGTTGTTCTGGGCTCATCCAAATAAAGGATATTTTCTTATATCACCTCCTGCCTCGAGTCATCTTGGGTTTTTGCATTTTGGGTCCTACCATCCAGCGTATCGTGACAAATCACTCTGGTCCCAGTACTGCTGCACAAAGGGTGTTCCCGCCTACTTCCCACCAACGTACAAGTCAGGAACCTTTCTCCAAGGCCCTGCCCATATCCCCATACGGGGCCGGCCGCCCCATACCCTGAGATACCAGCCCCCACCCAGACCCATATGCATATGGCATATGCGTAACAATGCATTTATCTGGTAATGTGATTTTTTCATGTAAACAAAGTGGTGAAAATATTTGTTTAAAACGGCTATGTGTGGACTAATAGGTTAACAACGAAATATTAACACCACATTCTTTTGCCCCTCTGCAGCTTGTCTGTGATGTCATTCACAGACACGGTTACACCAGCTTTTGCGCTGCTGCGCTCCCTCACAAAAAATGCCTGTAAGAGGGGCATTTCCACTTGCCAAGTTCGGACTAGGTGAGTGATGTATTTGCAGGCGGCGTCTTTCAGCCAGTAATAGTGCAAACATTCAACAGTCCTGCTGCAGCACTTTGGGCAGAAAAAGTGTAAACCTTTTCATGACTTTGTCTGTAGATCACGGTGACATCATTTATAGGACTGCTACCTAAAAACTTCATAAACTTGATGCCATTTATCACTCACCAACCCGTTTGGGCACTGGTGCCCCTTTCACTACTCATCAATGGGATCTGTACTCACTTGTTAACTGGCCATCACTCTATTCCTGCAGGATGTTACATTGGTTAGGGTTACCTTAATCCTAACCTGTCATATCTTCTCTCATTACTCATCACTTCCATCAACCAGCACCGTTTACATTCTAGTAACTTCATCTCTATGGTTATTCCCAAAGCGAAACTCTCTCCAGTGGCATACAGGTTACGCATCACCAAGGCAAGACAGGAGCCTGTCTACAAATGGGTGCATGCGAACCAAATCAAACCCTCACGATGGACAATGCGCAGCATTTTGATGCCCGTGTTGGTACTGTGGTGTCCTCGTGCTTTTACCACCTGAGACATTTGGCTAAAGTGAAACCATTTTCATCTAGACAGGATCTTGAGACTGTGGTTCATGTTTTTATAACCTCATGCTTAGACTACTGTGATTCTGTCTTATTTGGGGTAAGTCAGCTTACAGTAGCTCTCCTGCAGCTTGTTCAGAATGCTGCAGCAACATTTTTGGCTGGCAAAAGAAATTTTGATCACATCACACCTGTTCTGGCTGCTCTTCACTGGCTGCCTGTGGATTTCAAAATTGGTTTTAAACTCCTTTTAATGGTTTTCAAGGCTTTGAATGTGCTGGCTCTAGCTTATTTAATGGAGTAGGTGCAGGGTTGGGCATCGAGCATCGATTGGAACCGGTTCCAACTGTTCATTTTTCCCGGAATTGTTCAAGTTTTTTTAATTTTGATTCCTAGTTTCGATTCCTAGAATGCCAACCAGAAGAGGAATCCACGGCCGATCTCTGTGAAAAATAAAAGTGATCTGCAAATTGTGATCAACGCTTTTCAGAGCTGATCACACCAGCTGTCTGTGTGCAAGACCGAGTCCCCCCTGAGAGTTTTAGCTGGAAACAGCTGGACGTTTCTGGATATGTTGGAGACATTTAGCCTCTCATCCCAGAGGCTTCTTCCAGACTTTGGTTGTGGTCAGAAACAAACACACTGGTTGTGCTGCAAGTCTTTTTCTTTTTGTCTCCAAAACATGTTTTTGTCTAAATGAAGGTGATGTTGTTGTTCATAGAGTTAAAATTCATGTTGAAGTTCAGATTATTTCATCAAGTAGGACCTGTGGCTAGCTGGCTCATGTAATACATGGAATGTCTTCAAAGAATCAGAATCGGGAATCGATAGGAACCGGAATCGAAACGAGGAATTGGAATCTGAATCGTTCAAAATCAAACGATGCCCAACCCTAGTTTGGAGATGGTGCCTTATGTCCCTGCTCGAATGCTCTGCTCTGAGAGCCGGTTTCTGCTGGTGACTCCTAGCGCTCAGCTAAAGATGAGAGGGCATTGGACGTTTCTCTGTAGCAGAACCCAAACTGTGGAATGCACTTCCCCTATCTGTAAGGATGCCTCCAGCAGTAGCAGCTTTAAAACAAGGATGAAGACCCACTTTTATGGTTTGGCTTTTAACTCTCTGGGTCAGACAATGATTTTACTTGTTGGTTTTGATTGCCTTGGGTGATTTTATCAGTTTTAATTTGTTACTGTGCAGCACTTTGGTGGCATGTTTCACGCCTGTAAGGGACTCTATAAATGATGATGATGATGATGATGATGATGATGATGATGATGAAACCCCTTGGCTGAACTGAAGTTTCAGTTCTGTGATTATTCTTTTAAATATCAGTTTTTTCTAAGTTTTGGACCAGTCAGTTGCCAGAGATTGTAGTGGGATAGAGGTGGTAAGCAGAGCCCTTGCTTTAGTATAGAAAAGCCCACCGCATTCCGGGCAGATGAAGCTGGCTGTGGATAATGTACTGCTTTGGTGACCTCTTACCTGCAAGGCCTTCTCTAACGCTACAATAGCCTTTTCTGCCAGAAAAATTGCAAATCAATCTTTTCCTAAAAATTGTCAGTCCATTTGGAAAGCCAGCCAAAAAGGCCCCAGACTACACTTCTGCAATGGAAGATGTGTAGATTGGATTGAGGAAGTCTTTTAACCACTCTGTCCACCAACCCACAATGTCCCGAACTGAGGTCAGCAACACACGATTCCATCATAAACAGTGTTGGTAGTGCATTGCTTCTCGCTTCTTTTTTCTTTCTTTTTTTAACCTATCCTGTCCTGGCAGTTGAAGCATGATTCTCACTTCTGAGATGTCAGATGCTGGACCAGAATCGCCTCAAAAGCCTTATGGAAGTCATTCTCCATGGTCTCACTAAATTCCTCCCACACCTACGTGTTTGCCTTAGCAACTACCTAAGCTGCATTCCGCGTCAAATTCCAGTACATATCAGCTGCCTGTGGATATACCACAATGATCTGATAGGACTCATTTTTCAGCTTAAGAACATCCCTCGCCACCAATGGGTTCATGGGTTGCCACGGCAACAAGCACCAACCACCCAGCAGCCATATATTTAATAGGCTGCCTTGAAAAAGGAAATAAAAAACATGGCCCACCCAAGCCCCCACAATGCGGGTGAAAAATTGAGGCCAACGCGGAAGTGACAAAAATTGCAGTTCCACCCTCATCCACTAGAGGCTGGTGTCAGAAGCGAGCTAATCATTGACTCCCATGTTAAAAATACCAATTTCACAGCAGAAATAAACATGTTTACAGCCTGGTACCAAAACATGTTTTTGGTTTAAATGATCTAGTTTACACTCATGACAACTCTGAGGGGGGTGCATTTTTTCTCACTCTTCTGTTTAAGTGTATTAAAAGCCTAAAATTCTGTATAATTAATGAGCATCAGACCCACGTGACCACAGAGCTAGCTCCGTGGAAAGGCCTCAGTAGAGCCTCGGTCTGGCCTGGAAACTGCTCCGGGATTTTGAGTCTCTGTGTTTGTGTATTCGTTTTTGGATATTATTGTGCAATTGTTGGACAAAATGACTTGCTGTGGCATTAATTGCGCTAATAGAGCATCCAAGGAGTCTCCACTTCATTTTTTTCGGTAAGTAAAATTATATTTATGTATTTTAGGTCACTGCCGAGCTGAGCTTAGATTTTAACATGTACTGTTTAACCATGAAATCTAAATGTAATAGGGTAAAACCCAGTGCATTTAACATAATGCTGCACTTTAGAAAATGGGTTGAAATATAACATGTTGGTGGAGCTGGGTTCCGACTATCGGCTTGTGGAGCTCTTCTCCCCTCCCCGCAGCTCGGCGCACCTCTGTCTGATCGTGGCTTCTGTCTGCTGTGCGGCTGCCGGCTTGTGGAGCTCTCGGGAGACCTCTGTGTTCCACCCGGTTTTACCCAGCGGTCAGCCCGGCGTATCTCTGACTCAGAAGCTCTGGTGTTGTGCACAGTTAACTCCGGTTGTAGCTAGGTTGCTACCTCCGTTAGCTTAGGTCCCACCTCCGCGTTAGCTTTTGGTTAGCTTCAGGTTAGCTTGTAGCTAGTTCGACCCTCAGCTCCACCTCTCTTCCCTTTTGTGGAATTGTCTGGGCTTGAAGGAACCTGTGACACGGTCAAAATGGCGGTGGTGGCCACCTCCCATTTTAGCACAAAAACTCATTATTGGAGCCTGTGGAAACCCATTGTCCAATATTTATTTGTCGATGGGCCCACCAAGGCCCACAGTTCCTCACTTCCACTAGAATGTGTGGGACGCTCTGCTGGAGGTTTGAACTGAAAGGGAGAAAACTTTTTGAATTTGCTTTTTCCATCAAACACATATCTGTGAGCACCTGAGCTCATTGGCATGTTGCTGCTGGAAACACAAATTTTATGAAGAATAAACACAATGTAGGACTGATAAGGGAAAACAATTTTCCTGAGCATGAAAGTCTGCATGAATCTTTAGTTGTAAACTGTTTATGAACTCAGCCTGACAATAATCTCAACTGAAGGAGGTGATCACGTTCTGCTGTAGCGACTCATACCTGGAATGCAATGCTGGCGAAGCCCAGGCCCAGCTGCCTGCAGACTACCATGGCTTCCATTGTTCCCCAGCTCTCGCTACACACCGTGCCCCACACCAAGGAGCCATTTCTCTCCACCAACACCTCCAGACGGCCTTCATAGGGGTTACGACCTCCCCTCAGACGTACCTGAGAAGAAAAATCATTTCTGTTGGTTGAATCAATGAAAAATGTCCATATAGAAAATAAATATGCTTGGGGACAGCAGGAGCTCAGGACGTAGAGCGGGTTGTCTAGTAATCGGAAGGTTGCAGGTTCGATCCCGGCTCCGGACAGATAATTCTGCTGTTGTGTCCTTGGGCAAGGCACTTAACCCACCTTACCTGCTGGTGGTGGCCGGAGGGACCGGTGGTGCCTGTGTTCGGCAGCCTCGCCTCTGTCAGTGTGCCCCAGGGCAGCTGTAGCTACATCGTAGCTCATCCCCACCAGTGTTAATTTTGTTGACAAAATATTTTCGTCTTTTTTTTTTTCGTCACGAAAATATATTTACAGACGAAAATGAAACAAATTTTCAAAATAAAAGCTTGGAAAAAGACGAAGATGATAATTAAATTGATTGAAACTTTTAGTCAATGAATGAAAGACGAGACGAAAATCCACGATGACGCTCTTCTACATGGCGCTCTATGGTGCAGTGCGCCTATTGTGTTATTGTGAGACGCGAACGTAGTAGAAGACAAGGGGCGTGGCGTGCCGTGAACGTGCGGGACATGAGCGAAGACAGACCCCGAATAGTATAAAGCGGCAGGTATGCGCGGCGGTATGCTAAACATAGCTCACTGAATATATCGACGGCATAAGAAGAAGGAGTAGAGGAAAATGTTAACTGCTGGGCGAAAAAGAAGAGAAGATGTGTGGAGTCATTTTTCTCATGATAACATTGCTACCAAAACTGCATGCCGAGAGTGTGGACTGTCGTTCCGAGGAAAAGAACACAAAGAATTTGAAGAGGCATCTACAGAATGGCCACTTCGCCATTTTCTCCGAGGTAAATCCACTTAAATGTACACGTGACGACCCGAAAAGTAATATACATGCAAATAAAACTGTATCAACTCTGTCATGTTGGGATAAAAATTTGGAAGTAGCGTATTTTCATGACTATAACGTGTGTTATTAGGGAAATAGTGGGCGAGCAGTGTTGATGCATGATTGCGCATGCGCCGTGAGCGGTTCTGGCATTTTTTGGGTCGCAGCCGCTCGCTGCACGTGCGCTCTAAACCAGGACTAGACCAGTAAAGTGAAGCATGCTGTTGGCTGTTTATAATTTTCACAATGTCTGGTTTGCACTGATATGATCCGAGTCCCGAGCCCGCGCAGATGTTTTACCGGTACGTTTTATAACCCGGTGCGCCTTTTGTATGTGTTAAAGATCCCTCAGATGACAAGTTTTCCCCACTTGTAGCAGCTGCTTGCTTTCTCAATCCTACTGTGTGTCAGACCCTCCTCAATGTGGCTGATGATAACATTCAGGAGCTGCTCAAGCAGGCAGAAGGGTATGTTGTTCAGTGCTCTCAGACACAGGAGAACCACTCTGATCTGGAGGAACTGAATGGACCTGAACCGGCACCACTCGCCGCCGCCTCCTCTTCATCATCTGCCTCCTCCTCCTCCAGACAACCAGTCTTTAGGTTTCTCTCCAAATTCGGAGCAAAGCCTAAACCAAAGTCTTCCAAGTGTAGTGTTAGACAGCAGATAAGCCAGTATAAGGAAGAGCTCTCACAGTCCATCACTTGTGAAACGGGAATGGAGTTTTGGCTTGGAAAATGTGACACATTTGATCACAGCCTGAAACCATTAGCATTAGACATATTGGCAATGCCAGCTTCTCAATCTTTTGCAGAAAGAGTGTTCAGTATCACAGGTGACCTCACTAGAGGGGAACGCAACCGAGCAAAGGTCACACTAGCACAAAGTGCTTTTCTCAAAATGAATCGCAGCAAATAAATTTTCACACTGCTTGGTTGAGCCTGTGTTGTAACAAGTGAATATCTACAGACTCAGGGTTAACATGTTTAAATTTGCTGTTCTTGTAAATTCTTGTTGCGCAATTGCTAAAAAGAGCACCTTTGTAATTTCCAGTGTGCTTTTTGTTTTTTATTAAACACGTAAGTGTTAAACATGTTAAGTGTTTTTTTATTCAAATATTCTATGTTCTTAGCCGTGTGTGCTATATCTGATCAGTGGTGGTCAAGAGTTTGGACCCTGTGTGTTAAATTACACTAGTTTTTCCGTACTCTATACAAAAGTAGGAAATTACTTCATTAGAAAAAATATATGCATTCTGTTGACTGAAATTGCTTATTTTCGTCGACTAAAATGGGACTAAAACTAAAATAAATCTAATGACTAAAATTGGACTAAGACTAAAATTAATTTTTAGCCAAAAGACTAAGACTAAAATAAAATTAAAAATTCCTGTCAAAATTAACACTGATTCCCACCAGTGTGTGAATGTGTGTGTGAGGGTTAAGAATGACTGATGTGTTGTGAAGTGCCTTGGGGGGTCGTAGAGCCCTAAGAAGGTGCTGTAAAAATACAGACCATTTACCATACACAAGATAAGGAATCAATAAAGACTATGCATAACCAACTTCCATATTTGGCAAAATGGCATGCTGCACTTCTGGTTTGGAGCACTACATTCTTAGAAAGTGATAGTAATTTTGATGGCACTTGTAGTGAAATGACTTTTACACTATATTGGAAATGACCAATAAGATGTGATGATTCCATATAAATATGAAATATCAACCTGATTGATCTTTGAATGTTTAATCAGAAGATTCTAGGGTTCTTTGCTTCTTCAGGGACAAGAAACGCACTTCGTATTAATTCAGACAGTCAGTATATAGTTCATAAAATGAATTTAATTATTTTTCCTAAACTAATAGTTTATTCATGACAAGATATGAAAAATGAGAGGTGGTGTGGTGGATATGAAGTGATTTAATGTGATGTGTGAGGTGGTGTAATGGAAGCTAGATGTTTAGCTAAACCATTCTTTGTATCTGAGAGAGTTTGTGAAGTCTGGGTTGTAAAATAATTTACTCATCAGACTCCAGTGCGCAGGCTACGGTGCCCTTGGTATGAGTTGCTCCCGGCGGTCCGGAGGGGTGCAGTCCAAGTAGTGAGGTCACCGGATGCCAAAACCCCAATACTCAGAGATTAGTAGCTTTCTTTGAGTTCAGCTTCAGCGCCCAGGAGATGCAACCCGGCTCTACAGGTTAGAAGTCTGAGGTGTGAAGTAGTTCTGAAAAGAGCTGTAGCATCTATAATCACTCACAGCGTTGCAGAGAGGCTTTGACTGGACGCCAAAGGAGATTGTTTCAAAAGAGGCTTCTTTCCCGATTTGGCCAAATGGAGAGTCAGCTAGAAACTGAATTAATCGGGAAGTAATTCTTGTTTTATTAAACCACCATGTTATGAGTTTTGGCAAGTTTGACAAATCAGAATTTGACACGTTTTCAGGGCTTATCGAACATTTGTCACAAGCCACGCCTCCTTCAGATATAAATGTAACGTGATGAAGGAGCTATTCCTCCGAAGGTTATTTACCTTCCCTCCACAGATGCCTCTGACACAATACTAAGCTGCATGAGACTGCGTCAAGGCCATGCATTCGCTTCTAAACTGCTTCCTTTCCAGCTCAAGAGAAGAAAGAAGACAAACTCTTTCCTTTTAATAAATCAAAGAACTCTATTTTTAATAAAGCTAATCAAACAAAGTGTTAGTCAATAATAAGATGTTGACCAATCTGTGAAATCACAATGTCATGATTAATATGCTTTAATAAGTAATATGACTTTAATCTAGTGCACTAGACATGCTGACGATACGTAATGTAAATGCATGACACATTGCTTTCACTGATCCAATCAGAACCTTCCTTTCTGAAGTGTGGCATAGTCTCTACGGTGTTTATAAATCTGCCAACTTTGAATCGACCAGAAATCAAAACATCCAGATCAACAAAACCAGTTCCCACGCCATCATAAGTTCAGTTCTCATGATCTCACTGAAGTTCTCAACAGTTCTCTGAGTTCTCTACAGTTCACCGCATGCTAAGCGAAGTATTGGACCGGCCACCTGGACTTCCTTTTTTAAGCAAAGAACCAACAAGCTGGATAAAATCTGTTGTATTTTACCAACCAAGCAACGGTTCCTTTCAGAATAAAAGCTGAACTCACTGACCCTCTGGGTCCATCCGACGCTGTGAACCAACTGTCGCTTTTTTCCTGGAGACAATCCAAAGGCTAGTCTGTCGTACTGCTGATGCTGTTTCACCGGCTCCTGTACCGAAAGGGGGGTCCGAGGACCTGGCATTCTGGATCTGTACGGAGGTCGTCTCATCAAGGGTATGTGTAGAGCGACAAAATGGCGTCTCACGTGTTTATGAAACTCCGATCATAGCTAAAGCAAAACATCACAACATCATTCAGACTTGCTTCTCCGGTTACGAGAGTCCTGATTATAACATCACTCACACACACACCATTCATCTCACGTCTCATTCACACCTGATCCATTTATCACTTAGAGTTTAGAGTTAGTCTTGTTTAAAATTGTTTAAATTGTTTAGAAATAAATCTTCTTAAACGTTTTAAAGGTGACTCTCTCTTCTCTTGTCTCTGACTTACAAGTGTTACATAATCCCTGCAATAAAAAGTTCCAATCTTCTGGTTAAAATAACCCAATGGTCCATAAAATTGATTTCATATGCACTATGGAATCTTACGCCTTACAGGTCCTTAATAAGATGTAAATTAACTTATTTTACACAAAGGTGGTTAACACTTTGTGAATAAGAATGTCTTAAAACGAGTGCTATGACTAGAGTATTACAAGATACTATACAAGAAACCCAAAATGACCGACAACAAAGAATTAGAAAAATATCTGGAAAAACTTGATCTCCCCTCCATTGGGAAATTTCAGAATGGTATCTTAAACACACCAATTACTAAAAAAGAATTAAAGGGAGCTATTAATAGGCTGAAACCAAACAAAAGCCCAGGGAGCGATGGTTATCCAAATGAATGGTACAAGATTTTTAAAGAGGAACTCACCACCCTATTATTGGACTCATTCAACTGGACGCTAAAGAACGCTAAAAGCCCTCTATCGTG